ATCCTCAGAGATTTGCATCTCTTTTATGAGACAGTGGAGTGGAGGAGGTTCTAGGGTCTGGGCCTGGGGGAACCTCTGGTTTTATGATGGCGTAGCTCTGATCTCTCTCTTGTTCAGTTTCTTTTGTATTTCTACGTGTGTTTACCACTTATTCAGTCCCAACTGATTAAGTCAAATAGTATTCTAAATTAGATCAACCTTAGGTTTAAGGAGGGAGGAAAGGAGGCACAGTTGGAAGCTAAATAAATTGCAATGGCTCATCATAACTGTTGAAATGTAGAAGTGGGTATGTGCACCATGGCAACTGAACCTCTCTTCTCATATTGATTCTTCTGAACTGTTGTGGTTTCATTTGGTGTTGCTATTGTTCATTTTTGTTTATTATGCACAAAGACAACTTTACTGCCTTTTTTGCCAACATATTCTTAGTACACTTAATCTTCTCCAAAGTCTGAGAAATGATATAATTTCTTGCATCAAGACTACAAAGGCTGAGAGATTCAAGGTGCTGAGATTCATATCCTAAATATAAGGGACACTGTATGTCTTACAGAACATGGATTCAGATAGACTTAATTCTATATGTAATATTATAGGAAAGTTTAGTGCTGTTATATATCTCTGTTCTTGCATATAGCAAGAGAAAAATTCAGGCAAGATGTGAAAATTATATTAAAGTTTATTAGGAAAAGGGTATGCTTTCAATACACTGAAAGCAGAACTTCTCTAGAGTGAGAGCAATCCTATCATCATTTAGATCTGGAATATTTATTGAGGAATTCTCAGCCCTGGGTCCATCTGGCCCCTAGGATAGGCTCCTGGTCCTGGGTCTTTAGATTAACTGCATGAAATTCTCAGACTTTGATCAATGTATGAAATTCTCATCCCCTGGTCTATCTGATACAGATTACTTATGTGAAAATCTCAGACCTTAGTCTATCTGATGCCTAGGATTTAGCTCTTGAACCTTGGTCATTGTCCTGTTAAGGAGATTACCTATGTGAAAACTCCTAGACACAGGCCTAACTGATGTTTAGGGTTTGGCTTACTCTTGAGTAAAGAAAAAAATAAGCTTTAGGTCAGTAAGAGACTTCCAAGCATCCTGTGATTCCCCTTGGTGGGCTACTTTCACCTTAAAAGAGACTGGTCACCTGTGGAGTTGGAAAGTTTAGTTGTAATGATTTTTTTCCACTTGTGACCACCTCATGTGTGCATCTGCTACCTATCATAATCACTGTGCTGCTGCCTTATTCCATATATCAAGTGCCAATACCCAATCAACATTCAAATCCTACAGTCCAATACATGCTATTTTACATACTTGGAAAATACTCCTTATCATACTTTTTAAAAATTCCTCAAACTCTTTATTCTTCCCTCTCCTCTGGGTTCCCCGAGGCTTTACCCTCAAATTTAGAAAGAATTAATCTCAGAATTATGCTTTCTCTCCTTTATATTTTGCATAATGTTTGTCTTTTATATCTGATGATATCTCATATTTCTGAATCTCAAGAGCTGAGCATTGAATGTGCCAAGTTGAGATATTGGCAGGACACTCAGGGGGAAATCTGTAAGAGGAAAGATATGAAATTACAGATCTTAAATTTCACAGCCTATACAAAGAGATGATGTTACTTTGGAAGGAAGGTGGAGGAACTCAGAAAAGTAAAAGATGAAAAGAAAAGAAAACACATAATATAATGAGGAATCAAGATTTTTTAAATAATAAAAATGAGGAAGGAGAGGCAAAGGAAACTCAGAAGAAAAAGTGTCATGAACAGTATGGAGAGGATCCTGGGGAGACAGCAGAGTAGGAAGCTCTAGGAGCCCTCCTCCCATCTAGACCACAGCTGCATTGGCAGAATCTACTTTAATGAACTGTGGAGCCTGGTGGAAGCTCTGGCTTCAGCAGGAAAGCCAAACTGTGAATCATGGTTAATTTTGGTCAATTTAAATTTCTAGTATGGTGGCAGCAGCCTATCCCCACCTCTCAGCCCAGAGCAAGCCACTGAACACCTGTTCAGAACAGCATGTGCACAGCATTCAAGAGCCAGTTGGCACAAAGACCCTGTGCTCCATGTATCAGGATTATGTTCTTTAATCATCAGTTCCTCCTCCTGCCTACAGAGTCCAAGTCTTAGCAGTTATGGGGATTGTTCTACCAATATATTAGGAGGCTTGAAGATATTTCCAAGGAGTTATTTATTGAAAGGGAAAAGTCATGTTTATCCTTAAGAACTGTGTCATTCCTTCCAGGTATGCATAACACAGAGTCCACGGCAGGAGGAAATGTGAGTTTCCCCAATATATTTATCCTTTTAGGATTCTCAGAGCATCCATGGCTGGAGATTCCCCTCTTTGCAGTGGTCCTGGTCTCCCACGTCTTCACCCTGATAGGGAACAGCTCCATCATCCTTCTCTCCATGCTAGATTCCAGACTCCAGACCCCTATGTACTTCTTCCTGGACAATCTCTCTGTGCTGGACCTCATTGTCACCTGCACCATTGTGCCACAGCTATTGGACAATCTCTGGGGTCCAGAGAAGACCATTGCTTCCTGGGGCTGCATCACACAGGCCTATGTTTTCCACTGGACAGGCTGCACCGAATGCACCTTACTGGCAGTGATGGCCTTTGATAGATATGTGGCAATCTGCCATCCCCTCAGGTATACTGTCATCATGCACTCCTGGGTGTGTGTAAGGCTGGCAGCTGTCTCCTGGTCCAGTGGCTTGGCCAATTCTCTGCTCCAATCCATACTCACCCTCCAGCTTCCGCTCTGTGGACAGCATACTCTGGACCATTTCTTCTGTGAGGTGCCTGCTCTAATCAAGCTTGCCTGTGGTGATACCACTGTTAATGACTTCTCCCTGGCCTTGGGAGCCATTCCTTTTGGCATGATTGCTCCCCAACTTGTTCTTATCTCCTACATCTTCATTGTGAGGACTGTGCTGAAGTTACCTTCAGCTGAGGGAAGGCAGAAGGCACTCAGCACCTGCAGCTCCCACTTGATGGTTGTCACCATGTACTTTGGGCCAGGCATCTACATGTACCTCCAACCTCCATCCAAAAGTTCCCACATGAAATTCATGTCCTTCTTCTACTGCATCATCACCCCTCTGCTCAATCCATTCATTTATACACTGAGAAGCAAGGATGTGAAGGCAGCATGGAAGAAGATCTTAAAACCCCAGGATGAGGGAAATTATTTCAAAGCCAGATAATCTACCTGTATCCTGGAACAACCATGTGCACAAATCAGTTCAGGCTGGCAGGTCTGTTTTTGCAAATGAGTGTTCATTAGCTCCTAAGACAGAATTTCTACTTCTCAAGTTCAATCATCCTGTTGACCAGAAAAAAAATCTTTCTTTAAAATATTCTATCTTCTGAAATCTCCAATACAACTATTGTGGGTTTTTTTCTTACCCTTATTCTTGCTCTCCACAGACAAGAATTATGTACCCAACTCTCTCTAGGACACTGGGACAGAAGTTAAGCATTTTGAAACATTGTTAAATGATGTTGAAGTCTTTTATTGATAAGCCTTTCTATAAGCACCCTTTTTAAAGTTTACTTTTTCCTTAAAATTTGCTGAGATATTGGGGGCTAGAGAAAGTTAACTCCCTATAACAGTTATTAGAACATTTTCGAGAGTATTGGCTACCTATAGCAAAGGGCTGCCAAACAGGCAGTGAGACAGTGCTTATACCAATACCCCATACATGCCCCCATCACCAGAAGACATGGCTCCAGCAGGCAGCTTGTTCCGGACCTATAATTGGTTTGAATTCAATCCTCCAATTGCATAATGCACTAAAATAAAATTGGTGTTTGCACAGTCCTTCATTTGCATCAAAGACTATACCTTGATTGGTGCTATGATTGGTGCAGATCCCCATGTCCCCTCCTACATTGGGCAACATAAACAGGTTGCCTGTTTCACTTTTAGAGAAACTGGAAGACACCCACCACACTGCACCCTGCTGTTGTAACATCAGGTAGCAATAAACACTTCCCCTGGATGGTCTTACACACCATTGTTGAGCTGGTAAGCCAAAGAAAAATAAGACAAAAGCAGCAGTGGCAGGAAGGAAGCTGCCTTGACAGCAGGCAGCAGTAAGATAGGCAAGCTGAACAACCTGGGCAAAACTGACCAGAGTGGCTGCAACAGGCAGTGACTGACAGTGGAAAATATTGGCAGGCAATAAAGAAAGTAAAACTGATGACAGCTGGTCAGAATCAGACAGCAGAGACTCTTACCACCACAGGAGCTGCAACACATAGGACCCCAAACCCCGCCCTAGCTGTAAAAGACCCATGGCTGACTGCTGCTGTCCACTGTCATGCACTGAGCTAACTATAAATATTGGTAGGTACCAAAATAACTAGAGCAGTCTCTCAGTACCTTCTATAATTTCTATCAGGTTAGAGCATGTAATCTACAGCCAGTGGGTTTATAACACAACTGGCAAAAACAGTAGCCAGTTGCAGAAAAGAGGATGAACAACAATGTCAATTATAGACTTTTCTTGTGGATGATTATCAGCCACCTGAACCTTTGTTTCAGTGTCAGCCATTGTTGGTAAGATTCTGCTCAGCCATATCCAGCTGTACTCCTCATCCACTCTAGAAAAATGAAGCCCTCCACCCTTGCCTTTTATTTTGGAGCAGTGCTCATTTTGTTGTACTTGATTGGGAACTTGTAATAGCCTGAGTTTGATCACCAAGATGGACTACAGACTTGTTGCTCCAATTCCATAGATTTTGAAGGCTTTGATTCAGAAACTTTGGTTATCTGCAGTTTTCTACAGATAAAATTTTGGGGCTTCAGATTAGTTGTACTGATTTGTAGTCTTTTGTAACCTTATTATGGTTTCAGAAACTTTCTTCCTTAATCTTCACAGGTCTTGATTTGATTTTAAGGGACTTTGTAAAGTTTGGGCCAGAAAATTTGATTGGATACAGGTTAGATGACTCAGGCACTCTATTTGGGATCGTTGGTCAAGTTGCAGTACCAGTTCTCATTCGTGTTTCTGAGGTGGATTCCAAAACTCAACATTGGTACTAGAGATCGTTTGTACAACTCTGTAGTCTTTTGTAACCTTATTCTGATTTTGTAAACTTTGTTTTAGGATGTTTGGACATACCACAATTGTGGTCTTTGCTTGCTTTCAGAAATCTTTACAAGTCTTGGTCTATTTCTAGGGAATTGAACTTGGTATATGCTTTGGTCAGTGAGCATTTGTAATAACTTGCCTTGTGAGGATTTGAAAGGAGTTAGCAGAAAATTAATAGTAAAGCAATAGCACAAGAAAATACTAAGTTTTGGGAGGGTCTGGACCACCTGTGTGGGCTGCACGAAGCTGGGGACTGGAGGGCACTGGTCACAGAGGTGGCCATCTTCCAGGCCATGATCTGCAAGGAGCTGCTCAGCACCAATGCCTTGAGTGCAGTAGTGGTTTCAGCTGCTGGCTTTGCAATATGAATGCTGTGCTGTTGGGGTCAGCTGTCTTGAGGCAGGGATCCAAAATGGTGACTACAGGGAGGAAGCAGACAGCATGAGCTCTGTAAATCAAAAATCTTGCGTGACGCTGGAGCCACACCTGTCAGAAAAAAAATAAACACCAAGAAGAAGCAAAGCTCCAACACCCTGAACCCCCAGACCATACAAACCTTCTGCATGCCACATTACACTGAGAAAACAGGAGGGCTCTCGCACCACCAGACGCCAGCTCCAAACTTACTTGGGAGACACAGACCAACAGGTGAGCAAATAAGCAGCATGTGGTATTCACACAGCTACCCCTGGGATAAACCAGCACAGTCCCCTGGACAGACTAACCCCTACCCCGTAAAAAAAACTGAACAATAAACAAGGAACTGAAAAGGACATGCAGCAGAGAGCGCAGAGTGCTCTGAGCGCACAGGAGAAGCAGGCAGGGCAAGGAACTGATCTCAACACAAACATCCAATAAACAAAGTCTAGAAAAGTAGACAGCTGAAAGTAGGTGGGTGATGGCTGCTGCCTGAAATAGGGCAGATAGCAGTCCACAAAGCTCATCTCCTGACCAAACCACCTGGTGAGAATATGACAGAGCTACTGCTTAATTACCAACACCAGGACTGGATGCTGCAGGAGTAACACCAGAACTACTAAGACTGAAATTCTATTGTTCCTGAACCTGGATTTTTTTTTCTTTTCTTTCTTTTTCTTTTTTCTCTTTTTCTCTTAGTTTCATTAGTTTTACTATGGTAAGTTAGCTAATACGAAATTACACACAGACCAGGGACAGAAACAGAACGATGGAACGATGAGAAGATGAAAAAGGGATGGTAACCATTCTCCCCCAAAAATAAATTAGTACAGGATTCAGGGGGAAATGAAGAAAATGGAGAGGAGATCCATCATGGTGACCGGGATACAGCCACAGACTGTGTGATCTCTGTGAACCAGGGACTTTGCTGAGACGCTGGAGACACACTTGGCTGAGGTAAAGCACAAGGGAGAGCCGAAAGTACAGCACTCTAAACACCTAGATCATGGGAGGCTTCTCCAAGCCACAATCTATTACGGCCTGCCAAGTCCCTGCCCCATAGGCCTGTGGAGCCGCAGCTCAACTCTGCCAAGCCCTAGCTCTGCACCAGATCCACGCACTGCAGGGATCCCTGCCCCTCAGGCCACACCTCTGTTGAATAGGAGTGGGGCTAGTGGGCACCCTGTCTCATTCCTGATTTTAGGGGAAATGGTTTCAGTTTTTCTTCATTAAATATGATGTTGGCTATAGGTTTGTCATATATAGCCTTTACAATGTCAAGGTTCATTCTTTCTATTCCTAGTTTTCTTAGAGCTTTTATCATGAAGTGGTGTTGGAATTTATGAAAGGCTTTTTCTGCATCTATTGATAAGATCAAGTGGTTTTTGTCTTTGCTTCTATTGATGTGCTGTATGATATTTACAGATTTGCATATGTTGAACCATCCCTGCATCCCTGGATGAAGCTGACTGGGTCATGGTGAATGATCTTTTTGATGTGTCGCTGGATTCAGTTTGCCATTATTTTATTGAGGATTTTTGCTTTGAGGTTCGTTAAGGAGATTGGTCTATAGTTTTCCTTTTTGGAGGTGTCTTTGTTGGTTTTGGGATGAGTATAATACTGGCTTCATAAAATGAGTGCGGCATTATTCCTTCCATTTCTATTTCATGGAAAAGTTTAAGGAGAGTTGGTGTTAGTTCTTCCTTAAAGATCTGATAGAATTCAGCGGAGAACCCATCAGGTCCTGGGCTTTTCGTTTTTGGGATACTCTTTATTGCTGCTTCAGCTTCATTTTGTGTTATAGATCTATTCAAGTGATTACTGTCCTCTTGATTCAATTTTGGATGCTCATATATATCTAGAAATCTGTCCATTTCTTCTAAATTTTCAAATTTATTAGAATATAGGTTCTCAAAGTAATCTCTGATAATTTCCTGGATTTCTGTGGTGTTTGTTGTTATCTCCCCTTTTGCATTTCTGATTTTACTGATTTTGGCTTTTTCTGTCCTCATTTTAGTCAGATTTATGAGGGGTCTGTCAATTTTGTTTATTTTTCAAAGAACCATCTTTTTCTTTGTTGATTCTTTGTAAAGTTTTTTGTTGTTGCTGTTTCTATTTCATTAATTTCTGCCCATATTTTTATTATTTCTCTCCTTGTGCTTGTTTTGGATTTTGCTTGCTATTTTTTTCTATGAGGTTTAGATGTAGCACTAGGCCATTGATTTGAGCTCTTTCTGTCCTTTTAAAATATATGCACTCATGGCTATAAACTTTCCTCTTAGGACTGCCTTTGCTGTGTCCCAAAGGTTCTGATAGGTCATGTTTTCATTTTCATTAACTTCCAGGAACCCTTTAATTTCTTCTTTATTTCATCAGTGACCCACTGATCATTGAGCAATAAGTTGTTCAGCTTCCAATTGTTTCCATGTTTTCTACTGTTGTTTTTGTTGTTGAGTTCTAGTTTTAATGCATTGTGATCAGATAGAATGCCTGGGATTATTTCTATTTCTTACATTTGCTGAAGCTTGCTTTGTGCCTTAAGATATGACCAATTTTGTAGAAAGTTCCATTGGCTGCTGAGAGAATGGATATTGTGCATTAGTTGGATGAAGTATTCTATAGACATCAGCGTGGTCCATTTGATCTATGGTGTGATTTAGCGCTAGAATTTCTTTATTGATTTTGTTTGG